TTTTGGTAAACTTAAATGTATTTCATGATTTTAGCATGCTTTTCTGTTGTAATAAAAATTGAAATAAATGATGCGAGAAGCCTGCAGTTTCAGGTTAGTGTTGAAGCCTGACTGCACCGCAGCTTATTCTTTGGGACCCGGGGCTGATATTAATGATTACACTACCAGCGAATACGATGCTTTCAGACCGACACCCCCATTTGGATTTCTTGACTGCTGCTTCCAGATCGGTTGATTGTGGGTCCAAGCAAGATAAAAGCTTTGATGACCTCGATTTTCGCTCTGTTTACCATGATGTCACCTATGGCTCAAGTTGTAAGGATTGGGGTCTTCACGTTGGGCTAACTGCAGAGTTTGAAACTACCAGTCACTCGGTGGGGTTAGGCTTTCCACTCCTGTAAAGAGTTACAGTCTTGCGGACCCACCGGGGCAGGTCTCCCCTGCTCTGCGGAGCCTCTATGAGGTGATACTGAGTTTAGCTTTCAGACCAGCACCCCCAAGTTGGTTTCAACATATTTAATGATCCCCCACCCCCACCCCTGCCCCAGACCTCCTCCTTTCTTCCATGATAGAAAATGGAGACTGTTTGAGAAAACATTCCTTCTATCTCCTCGTGTTGGTAAAATTTGAAATACACCTGTCTTTCTCTTTGCCAAAACCTGCTGTTGGAGTACTTTGGCTTCGCTTTGGCGGTTGCAGGCAGAGGCCTGGCCTCATTCGGGGCTTGTCCAGATTCCCCTGCAGCCTGCGGCACACGGACCTTGTAGTGCAAGTGTCACAGCCACTCTCTGTCTGCCTTTAGCAGTTGCCTGGGATATGCCCTGGAAAGCAGTGGAGGAGGTCCCTCCTGCTACGGGACTCAGGGTCTCTCAGCAGTGCCTAAACTTTTGGACAAAGAAACACAGCCAAACAGCCCACAACTAGCCCTTTGTTCCCTCTTTTTAGCTCTCTAAGGAAAGTGGGATAGGGACTTAGAGTCTCCCTTAAAGAAAGGCTAGAGCTCCCCTCTAGCCCCTAATGATCTCCTTCTTTAAGAAATGTGCTAAAGCAGGGACAGGTGAGAGGTGCCCTAGGAATCAGTCAAAGAACAGAGTGGCAACTGCAAAGTCATGGAATGTGGAATTGAGTCCCAATCCGTGAAACCCATCCTCATAGGAAAGGCTCTCCCTTGGGGAATCAGGATGAGGCGTCACACTCACCCTTCAAGAGGAGTTAGTATCTCCCTCCTACCCTCAAAAACCTATAGAAGAAACAGGCATTGAAGGGCATGTGTGTGAATGAGAACAATCGGTTTATTTGTTATGCCTTAGATTTTTAAATTTAAGTGTTTTCATTTGTTCTAGTGTGGGGGATGTACGCCCCCCCCCCAAAAAAAAACCCACAAAGAAACAAACAAAAAACAATAACAATAACAACAAAAAGGATTTTTTTCAAAGCCTTGTATTTAAATTATTTTACAAAACAACCTTATCACCTTGGAAGTACTCTCCATTATACTTAATACATTTGTCACATCTGTGATTCCATTCTTGGAATCAGTTTTCAAACTCATCTGTTTGGATGGCTGACAGCACCTCCTTGTTTTTTTCCTTCACCTCTTCTACATGATCAAGTCACTGTCCTTTCATGTCCCTCTTCATTCATGGAAATAAAAATAAGTCTCACAGAGCCAGGTCAGGTGAGTAAGGTGTGTGGGGCAAGAGAGGCATGCTGGTTTTTGCCAGAAAGTGGCACACTGTGATGGCTGTGTGAGCAGTGCATTGTCATAGTGGCAAAGCCAGTCCCCTGTTTGCCACACATCAGGCCTTTTTTTCTTTTGTCACACACTGTCATGCTATCTTTTCAGAATCTCTAAAGCAGTGGTTCTCACCCTTCCTAATGCCGTGACTCTTTAATACAGTTCCTCATGTGGTGGTGACCCTCCAACCATAAAATTATTTTTGTTGCTACTTCATAACTGTCATTTTGCTACTGTTATAAATTGGGTGTCCCCTGTGAGAGGGTCATCAGACCCCCAAAGTGGTTGCGACCCACAGGTTTAGAATCGCTGCTCTAAATAGAAAACTCGATTAACAGTCTGACTTGGTGGAATTAACTCTGAATGCACTACAAGTCAACATTTTCATCTGTTTGGGAAGTTGATGTACATCCAGAATGAGGTTTGTCATCAACTGACATTTCACTTTTTTGAAACGAGAAAACCACTTATACACTTGAGCTTTTCCCATAGTGTTGTCCTTGTAAGCTGTGGTCAACATCATAACAGTTTCTGTGGCATTTTTCCCAAGCAGAAAACAAAATTTCACAGCTTCACACTGTTCTCTTAAACTGGCTATCACAAAAAACAAGGTTCATGAAAAAATTCACTGTGACCACAGAGAAACTTCCCAGGTGATGCCACTGGGTGCACTAACTCAGAGCAAGTTGTTCAATGTTCACCTTGTTGGAAAGATGGGTTCTATGAAAGCTCTGCTTTCCCGGTGCAATTCTATTTTGGGGGGGGGTACCTACTCATATATTTAAGTTATTCTGGTGTATTTTAATGCATGCTCAAAGAGTTGTTTTGTGAATGAGCAAAAATCCAAACTTTGGGTTATTTGTAGGTTCTTTTGAATTTAAATATTTGACTATAGGACAATTCTGGAGAGACACTGAGACTGGGAAAGGCAAGGCCCTTAAATTTTTGATAGCTTTATTGGGGAATACAGCAAAAGATTGAAAGAGGGAAGTCAAGAGAGGTGATTGGCTGACAGCACCAGGAAAAACTAAGAGTGCGCATAAGTCAATAGGAACTGGCTCCCATATACCATGAATTTGACATTTGTTCTTGTACTGGGAATTGGTGAGGCATTTTCAAGAAATAAATGCTGCCAATTTTAGATGGGCTCTGAACAATGTTAGTAGGTGCCGGATCACAGAAGTTGAGACATACCTGACATATTAAAAGAGAAAAGGTAAGAAGTTTGGGGTATTGGTTTGCAGCAATGGGCACCCAGATGGTCTAATCAAAAGCTTCCCTCTGGAATGCCTTCTTGAGAATTGGGAAGCTTTGGCTACTAACCCACAACAAAGAAAAAGATGTTTTTGTTTTGTCATGAGGTTTGACCCAAGGAGTAGAGAATGAACTTGTTAACATGGTTTACAATGCTCCTTCCTCCTCCTTAAATTAGCCTTTCCCTTCTTACCTAGATTTATCTTAGGTTGCTTTACCTGCAGAGTCCCTCTCTGCTATCACATATGCTGGTAACAAATCTGAAAGTACCATGAGTTGCTAAAACAAAACCAACAAACAACTAAGAGATTTGTCTTGGAAAAAGTACAGCCACAGTGCTCTTTGGAGGTGAGGAGGATGAGACTTCATCTCACATCCTTTGGACGTGTTGTTTGGAGAGAGCAGTCCTGGGAGAAGAACTCAGGATTGGTTAAGTAGAAGGACAGCAAAAAAGAAGACTAGATGGATTGATACGGTGACTACCACATGGGCTCAATCATAACCATTGTGAGGATGCTGTAAGACCAGGTGGCATCTCATTCTGTTGTATGCATGCTGAATTGCACTGAGTCAAAACCTACTTGATGGCACCTAATAACAACAGCAATTGTATATACAAATGTACATAGTACAGATACACATGGAGGTACTCAATATAGTTTGGATATGCTGGGCTCATCTTTGAATTTGAATGCACACAGTCCCATTTTAGAATAACTCTACCTATTTCCCCGGCACTGTCTGGTGAAATTCCTTTTTTACTTCATGGTTCAGCTTAAAATCCAGCTTCTCGGAACAATCCCTCTTATTGCTCTTCTTCCCACTGGAAGCTTCTTCAGTGCTTCTCTTGGTACTACAAAGTTAGTTGAACAAAGTTAGTTGGTGGTGGACAATCATGGTCTCGCTATATCAATGCTGTTTTAAGATGTATATTACTTTGGCAAACCTGTGACTGACATTCCCGGCGAATATTATTGTAAAGTTTCCCTGATAATAAACTCCCATTATTTGTAAATAGTGTCCGGTAACAACAATTGATTCTGTAAAAGTGAATAATTCAGATATTGCAATATGAAATTAACATTGGCCCAATATCCTTCTCTCAACAGTGTTTTATAAAATTAGTAACAGGGGCTAATCAAAGACAATATTAACAGAAGCTTTTTGCCCCAGGGGGATGATCGATAAGTCTTTCTACCATAAATTAAGAGGGCTCTACCATAAATTAAGAGGGAGGTTTTGAAAGGAAGAGAAAAGTAGATTAAAACAAAACAAAACATAGATCTAGGAATGGGCTTGGGGCTCCCATGAAATCCTAGCTCCAATTTAAGAACAATTAGTTCTTACATCATGGCCCTGCTTGAGACTCACCCTCAGGAAGAGAACACAGAAGGTGTGAGTACTTTAACAAAGCGTGGTGAAGAAATTAGGTAGTGCCCAGCTATCAGATAAAATAGCATCTGTGGTCTTAAAGGCTTGTTCCTAAACAAGCAGCCATCTAAGTGAGATGTCAACTAAGTCCACGTGGAAGAAGCACACCAACATCATTGACCGAAGGACTGTAAATCATATAATCTGAAACCAAAGGAGGGAATAGTATCCGAGCCCAAATTGTGAGCATCTGGTTTACAGAAGGCTATGGATTTTAGTAGGAACCCAAGATACTTTTGTGGGATCTACATAGGAAATAATCCTCTGACGATTTCCCTCTGTCCCTAACAGAGGAAAGTGTTACCAAACAGAGTGCATTGGCAAGATGACTATAGAAGATCAAAATGATAAATCTGACTTGAGATTATTACAGTGAAGAGAGTTCACCTGGATAAAGGGCTTCAGTGGACCTGCAATTCCTGCCTGGATCCTAGACGCTGTTCCTAGACTCAGGCTGAAGAGGTCACTGCCTGCCATTGGACCTGTCTATCTTGCATCAAAAGCCTCTGGACCAACTTGAGTCAGATAAAGAAGCCAGTTTGAACTCTAACTCCATGTTGACCTTGCTAGTCTCATCATGAGCTGGAGGAACCCTCCCAGGCTCCTGGACCTTGTGTTGTGTGTTGCAGAATGAGGCCTCGGCCATTGCCACTCTGGAGTGGCTGCCCAGAGCCCTCTTCCCTCCCTTGTTCATGGCAGCTGTTGTCTGGGAACACAGAGAGACCATAACGGCCATGGTTGGGGTATGGCTCTTCTTCCAGCTCCCCCTGGGGGCTCGGATGGAAGATTATCAGTCTCACGCTGACATCTTGCAGTCTGTATTTGATGGTCTTGGCATCTTGATTGCCAAAAATGTTCTGTGCAGTAGAAGCCACCTGAAATGACAGGATTTACCATGGAACACTGACACTATCTTCTGGTGCATGTGGTCGGGATCCCAGTCTAGTGCTTCCATGACCTCATCGGAGGAGCCAGAGGGCACCCAGCCCAGGACTCTGACTCAAAAAGGGGACAAGTCCATGTCAGTGGGGAAGCATCCAGCATTGGCCCCTGTGAAGGTGATCACCGATCTGTGCTTTTAGGAAGTCCCAGATGAATGTCTCACCTTCCTCATTGAAAGGGTCAAGCACAGGAAGGCTCTGCCACACCTGCACTGTAGGAAGGGGGAGTTTGTGGGGAGTGTACCCTAACTTCCCCATTCTTGGAGAGATCCTGAAAATGGTGCAGCTGGACTCTGTCCAAGACGTGGAAGTACATAGTAGTTGGGATCTGCAAAGCCTCAACTGGTTTGCTCATCACCTGGCCCAGATGGTCCACCCGCGTACACTCTTTCTCTCTGAATGCACCTTTCATTGCATAGTCCCCGGGGAGGAAGATGAGGACGAGGTAGAGAAGCTACTTCCACAATTCACCTCCCAGCTCCTCAGTCTGAATTGGTGTTGACCTCATCCTGCACTCTGCCACCTTCCTCAAGAACCACCTCCACCAGCTGTGTAGATGCTTGCAGACCCCACTGAAGACCCTCAGAATAAGTCATTGCACGCTGTTGGACCATGACTTGACACACCTGTTCTTGTGTCCCTGCGCCAGCCACCTAAGGTCCCTGGAGCTGAGTGGTGTAAGCAGGACAGGCTTCAGTTATGAATTGCTCCCTGCTCTGCTGAACCAGGTCTCAGCCACCCTAATGGACCTGGACCTAGCTGACTGTGACATCCTGGACTCTGAACTCGGTGCCTTGCAGCCAGCTCTGAGCACTTGCTCTCAGCTCAGAACCTTGATGCTCTGTGGAAACCCAGTGTCCATGGCTGTCCTACAAGAGCTGCTGGTTCACACTGTCCCAAGGTGCAAGTTTACCTTTCTAAAGCTTCCTGTCCCTCTACATGCTGTGTGGGCCCCCATGAACTCTACACAGGGGTACTCTTGAAGAGGTGATGGGGGAGTTGAGGCTGATCCTGGAGCCTAACAGGCCCCACTCAGTAAGCTTTGCTCACAGGACTTGTCACAAGGTTTGTGATGCAATCTGCATCCATCTGGACAACTAGTGCCATGACCCTCTTCTTTGTCATCTGTCCTCAATCGTCATAACTTCTGCCTCTGGATCTCAATGCCATTTTTGAAAGACTAGTCTATGGTTTCAATGGGATTCACAAGGATTGGTCAGAGGATGCATCTCACATGACCAGTTTGACTGAAGTCAACCCTTCACTGGAACCAGACAACATGGAAGCCAAGACACAGGAGATCTGCTAGGACTGCAAGTGCTCCCAATGTTACAAAATGTGGTAGTTACATAATCTGTGGTCAGTTTGAGACTTACGAGTGAAGGGGTGGATTTAGTCTGTCATTCAGGTCACAGCTTGATGACCTCATTTGGAGCTGCTAAGGAGATAAATAGCTTGCTGGAGGCGGTATACAGAAACTCATTCCCTGGGAGACAATGCAGCTGACAAGACACATCTAGCTAGACCAGTGCCCTGAGCTGGAGGAGTCATGCAGACTCCTGCCAGCACTGAGATGCTTATACCACTGCTGGATCCACAAGATGTTCCACCCACTGGCCTGGGACCTTCCTGCATTCGGCATCATTGCATGTGTTGCATAGTCTGAAGAGGAATTTATAGATTGGTATTGGACATATGGTCTAATATCAGACTATTGACTTGATCTGGACTAGGCTGGGATGTTTTCTCAATATTCAATTGTTCTTGTATATAAACTTCTTTCTTATAAACAACAACAACAACAAAAAATCTGACTTGAATGATTAAAACCTTGTCAGTTGATCCCCTGCTCTGCCCCCTCCATTCATGTTAGGATGATCAGCTTGTCAACATTGTCTGTACTTTTTTGTTTGTTCATATGGGGGTTTATATCAGATGTGATGTCATTGGGGGGTCACCCTTTTGAATTTTTGTTATATGTTTTTGTTATTTGTTTCTGTTTTTCAATATATGAAACTCAGGATTGATGAACCTATAGAGAGAGCAAGTAGAATAAGGGATTCAGGGGGTAGAGTGGTGGTGGTGAAGGGTCTAAAAGGGAGCTGATGCCAAGGAGTTCAAGAAGAAAACAAATGTTTTGAAACTGATGGTGGTAGCAATTGTACAATACTGCTGGATATGATTGAACTGTGGAATAATATATCTGTGTTAATTCCCAATAAAATGGTTTTGAAGAAAATGTTAGTAATATTCCAAACTTACCAATATGGCTGTAATTATTTTTTTCAATCTCCCTTGCTATGACCATAGTGGGACCCTTAGTAGGTATTCTTATATTGCTTTCAATGAAATGCTTTAAAACAATAATAATGTATCTTTTTAATGTAAAAAATCACAAATTAGGTCTTACATATCACATTATGCTAAAATCATCAACAAATTTCAAAGACAAGCACACACAAAAGACAAAACAAAAAAGTTTATACCCAAAATAGGAAAACAGAGGGTTATTAATTCAGATTTTAAAGGGAATTTCAGAATATTTTATTTTGATACTGGTTTTTAAAGTAAATATAATTTCAAGATTATTTTACTTATTTTAAATATGAAAAAAATCCAGCATGCACAAAAGTAGACTTAAACAATGAATCCTTGAGTAACTATCCCCCAAGTCCATAAATGATCAACATTCTGGTCTTCTTTCAAATGATGCCAATTCTAAAACTTGTCATCAATTCAAAGAAAGAGAGCTACAAAAATAATCAAGTAAATTCCCAAACTCTCTAGTGGTGTTTAAGCCAGTCATAGTTTAATGTCAGAATAATAGTAACAGCTAAATTAATCAAGGAACACCTAAACACTTGTTGTACCCTGTTGAGTTTAGAGGTTATCTCAGATTGCCCAGGCATGGGGGCAGGGAAGAGATTCATCAGGAGAATCATGTACTCTTTGGTTTCACTACCTGTGATAGTTAGATTTTTTTGTGCCAACATGGCTCCCTTAGGGACATGTAGGCAGCATTTAGCCTGTCAGTCAGGTTGCAGCTTGATTGGAGGGCAGCTGAGATAAATGGCTCTCCAAGGCTGGTCTCCTTTCTCCCTGGTAGTCAGGCCAGTGCACTGCTGCTTGAGTTAGCTGCTCGGCTTCAACCGTGTGCTGTGCTACCTGTGGGTCAAGCCAACCAATGGGTCATGATGGATCGCTTCACCTTACCATGCATCATTATGCCTTGAGGCTCCATTACGACCTGCTTCAAGATGTTGCTGCACTACTGGCCTTTGCTATGACTCCACATCTCATTTTCTTGTGGTTGCTGCCCTACCTGCTACCTGCAGGCAGACTCTGGTTGTCTTGCCTTCAGGCAGACTCTGCACCTCCTGCCAGCCACTTTACTGTCTGCTTTCTTGACCGTGGATCAGTGGCCTGTGTGAGTTGGAAGTATATTATCTGTCCCACGAAAGTGAGTTGGACTGAGCCCTCTGTACTGCTGTGTGGACTAATTAGCTGTTCTATTCCTTCTCACTATATAAATATATATATATAAAATAAGTGTCCTGGTTTTGTTTCTCTAGAGAACTCTGTCTAACACACTGTCCGAATCTGTTGGCTGCTGATTGAGAGCAAGATAAGCAGCAGCGCAATGTGTAGACCAGGAGGGTCTTTGAGAAGAAATGAACATCCAGTTCACCATGAGCTTCATATTTAGATTCCAGAGGATGTCTTCTTATTTTTGCATGTGATTATATCCAGGGTTGATGTAAATTAATTACTGTCTAGTGTAAATGTTTAAACTATTCCACAATTTTTGTGTGTGTGATTTTGGCAGCTATCCATTTTTTTCTTTTTCTTTTTTAAGAATTCTGGGAACCTCAGTTAATTGAAGTGGGCTGTGATGCTGTTGAACTCCAAAGGACTCTGAGGAGGTTAGAACATTATTTGCTTTCTTCCAAGTTTTTCTTCACTTGTAGCTCCTGGCTGAAGGTAATGAGAATTTTGCCAAGGTTAGAATTGGGTTCAAGAGTGGAAAAAAAAAAAAGAGAAATCGTTGGGTCAGATGGTAGCAGACATTTCATTGGAGAAGCAGTTAGGGAAGAAAGAAGAGGAAAAGAGAGAGATTTTAAAAAATCATTTTATTGGAGGCACATACAACTCTTATCACAATTCATCCATCCATCTACTGTGTCAAGCACATTTGGACATTTGTTGCCACCATCATTCTCAAAACATTTGCTTCTACTTGAGCCCTTGGTATTAGCTCCTCATTTTCCGTCCCCCTCCCC